CGAGACGTCAGCACACTGCACTTCAGCGGCTCGGACCACGAGAGTCCATTCAGGTTCTCTGCGTCCTCAATTTGCGCTTGAAGTCGTTCAAACCACTCGTGTGCGCCCGCATCAAAATATCCGTCTCGGACCTCGCCCGTGAAGGGCTCCATCGTGATGAGCTTGAGATTTATCTTGGTCGGCGCGTGATGAGTCGTAGCCGGTTGGATTGCAGGGTCGTTTGGCGCCTCCTCCTCATGCTCCACGTCTTCCCCGCCTTCGGAGATGGATGGCTCGGGCTCACGATCGATCTCTTCGTCCCCGTGGGAGCTGTGCGTGGGCATCTCAATGCTCTAGAGACAAGAGGCTGTTAACCTGTGAGGAAGGAGGGAAAATCAAGACTGATATTCTTTTGGTTTAGCCAAGCACAGCAGTGCATCTATGTTGCAGTTCCACTCTGTGTCCTCGCGACATCACTCAGGGCACGGGGCGATTGCTGACAGATCAGTGATTCTTTTGTACGCGTATGACGCTCCTGTTGACACGGTCTCAGTCGTGTTGGGTGTCGCACAGCGTACACTGAGCAGATGGCTACGACATTTTCAGAGAACTGGGAACGTGAATACGAAGATTCGCGAAAAGCAGCGCTCATCTCGATGGCCACGAGAAGTACTTATATTTATTGATGACTACGTCAAAGTTCACCCTTGTTTCTACTTTGAAGAAATTAAGCCTGCAATCAAAGAGCGATTCCCGGCCTCGGCAATAATAACAAAAATCTTCCAAACAGAAACGCGAAAATCGCCGAACTGCTGTTTTTTTTGGTAAGCATTTATTTTATGAGGTACGGTAATCATCAGTCGTCCACTGAAACCTTTCAAACTCGATTATTCGATCTTCCCCCCTCTAAGTGTCAATAATGGAGCTCGAGGCCGAGAACGCGAGGCTTAAGGAGGCGCTACAAGCGCTACAGAAGCGCTACGACCGTCTAGATGCATCCACCACAAAGCAGATTCAGGATCTGACGGACGAGAATGAGCTGTTGGCCGAAGCCAACCGTCTACTGCTCGAGAAACAGGCGCAAAACCCTTCGACTCCCTCCAAAGACGCTCTGAGTCTTCTCCAGGTGCCGGACGAGCTGCTACTGCCCGGTCCAGCGCTTTCAATCCGCCAGCTAGTGGCATTAGACAATGTGCACTCATTCGGGAACTTGCTAAGTGTCAGTGCACACGCCACGAGGCCCGAGATCGTCATCACAGGTGGAGCGGACAAGTGCGTCTGTGTGCACGACTGGAAGACAGGCCAGAAGCTCTGCGCAGTGGAAACTAGCGCCCCAGTGTTGGCTCTGGCGTTTAATCCTAAGAGAGAGTTTGCTGAATACTTTGTAGCTGCAGGAATGGACGCTAAACATGCACTGTATAGACTGGAGCAGCTAGGAAAGCAGTGGCGTGTACGCACGGTATGTGAGTTCCATGATCATAATCGACATGGAGCGTTCAAGATCGCGTGGAGTGCAAGTGGACTGTTCTTTGCCACAGGATCAAGCGATAAGTCGCTGAATATGTATCAGTGCTCGCATCTGGATGGAGACGGTGAACAGGTGGAGAAGATCAAGTCGTTCTACTTTAACGGAACGGTGGAAGCTATGGCGTTTGCTCCGTCGGGATCAGAGAGAAGTGAGCTGCTGGTGGTTGCAGTGAGAGATGACTGCTACGTGCATTACATTGACTGCTCCACGTTCGAGAAGGAGAGGTAAGACAGAGCTCACAAAATGGTGATGTTGTTAAATACTGACTTTATTGCGTTTTGTGGCAGAGTGAACATGAATCCAGACGGCATTGAGCACGTCTCGTACACGATCATGGACCTGAGTCTATCGCCGAGTGGCAAATATCTCCTGGCAGCCACGGATTCCAACCGCAACTTTATCTTCGCAGTAAGTTAATTAATTTATTTGTTATGTATAACCTATTGGCTGTAAACTTACCTTTTCGTCGTCGTCGTAATGCAGATCAAACGGAATGTGGCGCTGAGAAGTTTTTACGGGCACAAGGCTGGACCTTACAGTCAGCCGCGTGCTGTATGGCATCCATCGGAAAAGTACGTCATCTCCAATAACGAAGAGAACGGCACCATCTTTGTGTGGTCTATCGCGTCTGAACAGGTTGTGGAGACGTTTGATGCCCACGACGCGTTGGTACGAGATCTTGTGTGTCCTACCACTGTGTCCTCCTCAGGCTCCCCGACGTTAGTGACGGTGTCTTACGACAAGCGGATGAAGGTCTGGGAATCGCCTCTGGCAACGACAGGCATCGAGATTATGTAAAAAAAAAAAACACACTTAGAAAAGCTGAGAGTTTGTTTATGATGTGCTAAGCTGAGTGAATACTTCTTTGAGATCTCTGATTTCCTGCAAAGCGGCGACCGTCGAGGCCTCCCAACGATCTAACTTGGCTTGAATAGCACTGATCATGCTTTCTTTCCCTTGTAGTTCTGCTTTAAGGGAGTCGGCATCCACACTTTGCTCCAATGGAGAGTGGATCTGCGACCGAGATGCAGACCCAGAGTTTCGGTTAGTGGCTAGACTTCCAGCTAACGCACGTCCACCTCCACTACTCGCAGCACTTGTCGGCTTCGAAGGACTTGAGCTCTTGGTTGAACCTCCACCGCTTGACTGCGAAGAAGAGTTGTCTGCAGGTCTCGATGGACGTGCGCGTCCGTAGTCCACTTCAGGCTCTAAGGTATCAATCAGTGAGTATGGGAAGGCATGATTAAGTGACTTTCACTACTCACCTTTCTTGTTCCTTGGAGCTGCTCCGTCCCCAGACTTTTTGCCGACATTATCAGCTCGGCAACTCTTGTTGTGGATAGCAAGTCGACCTTCAGCAAAAGTTCGACCACAGAATTCGCATTTCTCCATGCCGTGGACATTGTACGCTTCTTGTGCAGCTTGATTGAGTGCCTCAACTTCTTGCCGACTCATTCCTTTATTACCGTCTACGCCGCCTTGACCGATTCCAGGTGGAGTCTTCGGGATTGGTCGACGCTCATTCTTCGGCTTCAGCTCTTCCTGCTGGACCCATAGTTTCTTGCACTGCTTCAAGTGGATCTCAAAGGATGACAACCCATATTGGCGACCACAGACATGACACACTCGCGTGACAGGCCCAGGTTTCAGATCTGTACAACGTAAAGTAGAATCAGCAAGTAGATCTAGTAATTGTTGCTAAATTAACTCGACCCATTGGGATATGGAGACGACGGAGAATAAGGCGGAGTGAAGTGCTCGCTCGACGCTGCGGCGTCCGTTAGCAACCGTTTTGATTTTGGTTACACTAAATGAGTGGGTAGTCCCAAATATCCTCATCTTTTTCCTCGTTTTTTGTGTTGTTTGACCGTTCGATGAGGTTATTGTGGCGAGTATCCACCTCGAAGCACCACAAGATCCGTTTTAACGGAGCGTACTGCTCCATCGCAGCGTAGTGACGCAATGTCGAAAGACCCGCTGCCTCCTTTTCGTCCGAATATATAGCAGCCTTTTCCACGATACGCTCGTCATGGAGTTGCCGGAGTTCGCTTTCACTAAACCTTTCCAGTTTATCGACAAAGTTGGTCCGCTGGGTCTCGGTTAGCGCAGGGAAACCAGTAAAGCGTTTAGGATTCTGGAATACAGAACAAAACTCACTAATTAGGTAAGAAGGTTAGTTGAATCGAAGTTGAAACTCACCGATTGCACTGCGTTAAGTAGCACATTGACAGCTAGAAACTCTTGAGTCCTATTCACGTATTTTTCGTATCTTGAGCCAGGATTCATGATGACTTCGGTGATCTTGTGGTTAATCGATAAACATTTCAAAAGGCCTCGGTATCCCTGTGACCGCACGTCTGGGTTGTTCGAAATGCTGAAAATGACGACTGGTGTTAGTTCTCGAGTCCTATAGATATGATGTTTGGACTTACTTGATCGTTCGAAGTGTACTGTTGAACTTTCGCAGCACCATGGCCATCTCGTTCAAGCCCTCGCAGCTGATCTGACAATCAGACAAGCTGAAATAAACATGGTTTAGCTCCAAATAAATAGTGCTAGAACTTGACAACTCACTTTAGCGATAACAGCGTGGTGTTCTTCTTGAGCGCAGTCGATACATCGGTAGCACCCGCATCCCCTAGGGGATTCTGAGCAAGTGCTATCGACACGATTGTGCAGTTCACCTTCAGCATTTCGGCAATAAAAACGGAGCTTTGATAGTCCAAATGATTGCCAACCAAACTGGCAGGTATCACATCAAAACTTACGTCAAGTCGTTGGCAGAATGACGAATTTTACACCTCGTACCTGACTTCACGGAGAGTTCTGACCCTCCACAGCGCGTTGCACAAGGATTCTACTCCATATACGCGCTTTTCATTGGTGCTGTTGTATACCATTCTGTTCCGACCTAGGTCGAGTTTCTCGAGTGCAGGAAAATCTTGAATGGCATTAGCGAACGCTACTAGCCCGTCTGATCTCAGGTTCACATCACTGAGGCTATACAAGAAGGGAAAATAGTTATAAGTGTGTGGCAACGTCGCGATTTGCTTTAGAAAACTAACTTGAGGTCCTGAAGTAGTCGGCATTTCTTCAGACCCTCGAAGATGGTAATAATCCCATGGAAAACATTCGCTTTTGGTCCAGTCAGTAAATTACCAGACAAATCCAATTTCTGGAGCTGCTTGCGTTCACGTTCCACTAAGATGCCGATTGCTGCTGCGTCTAAGTGGTTAAACTTATGCCCACAGAGAATCGCGTGTCCATTTTCTGAAGCCTGAAGTCGGATTGTAGCGACAGGAATCGGGTTATCCGAGAATTGTAGTGCCTGTAAAGTATTATTCGCGGCCTGTGCAATGTTAATCGCTGCTTGAACTCCAAGCGGTGTACCTGACAGGTTCAAAGCTACCAGTTTACACGTCTTGGAGCGTAGATACGGTACTAGAAGATCCACGAATTCGTCCACAATGAAGAATCCGGAGAGATCGAGCACCTTCTTGCCTCCACTAGCGATATCTCGCACACGCTGAACGATTTCTTCTCCCTGCGAGCTTTTAAAGTTCCCTTTACGATGCAACACCTTCACCTCAAAGAGTAATCGCTGATATGCGTCAGTGATAGAGCGTCGAGTTTCCTCTTCCAATAGCACATCCAAGTCGACAGACAAACCCGGATTCTCGCGTCGAAGTCCTTCAGCCGCACGAGGATCCACTGACACAACATGCCGCAGCAACTCGCAGCCAGGAGTGCCCCGAATCTTCACCTTCGCTCGAGCATTCATCAAGAAATTAATGAATGCTCGAGCGAAAATAAAGGTGATTTTTTTTTGTGCTGACGACGACAATGCTATTGTTGGACACTGTAACTCCAACTTCATGCACTAATCTGGCAACTTACGCAAATAAAAGTGTAAGCTATCATGCTTACGCCAATACAGTATAGAGACCGAATCCTTTACACTGAAGCGACACATGTATCGATGGGATCTTTGCAGTCTCTGGTGCTCTACCTCGTCACTTCCCTGCTCTTCTTGACGCCTACGAACCCTATTGAGCCTGCCCCTCAAGCTGCAGACGCCGATACAGTCGTGAACGCCGACACTTCCAAGAGTATCCGACTGGATGCCAATCTGCTCATTCCTGACGGTGGAGAGCTGCTACTAAACATCCAAGTGCCTCATGAGCCAATTCAGATCCATCCCAAGGGTCCTGCAAAGGTCTCGCGAGTGTATTCCGACCACGTTGATGGAAAACTTGGAGTCGGGGAAGTTATCAACATTTTCGTGAAATTTACGAGTCCCGTGAAACTTTCGGGAGCCGGGACCCCTTACATAGTACTCAAGACGGGGTGTCATGCTACTTCGTGCCATGTTAAAGAGATTCAGCGGCTGAGGTGTATGGCGACCAAGGGAAAATTTGCAGTAGGGTTTGGAAGCCAAAAAGTGGGGAACATACCCTGGGATGCCTCAGCTAAGCTCTTTGCTGCATATTTGAGGAGAATGAACCGCATCAACAAAGTGAACGTCAAGTACAGTATCGACGAAGATCGTGCGTGTACGTTCTTCGGGAACAATATCACAATTACTTTTGATTCAATGAATATTGGAGGAACGGATGGAGATTTGGTAGAATTGACAGGAGATACCACTAACGCCGTGGGAGATGGAGTCGTGTTAGGGCATGTCATGTATACACCCTTAGTGACGTCTACAGCGTGGGAAATACGGAAAGGTGTGCTCGTTCCGGATCGCAAAGCATTTTTTGTAGCCCAAACAGCCCCCGATACGCTAAAATTTGGGTACACGGTGCAGAAAGGAGATAACTCAACGAGACTGGAATATGTTAACAGCGACTCGCTTGCGTTGTCGCTTCGATCGATTGGTGGTGTGAGAATAGTAAATGACGATGATACGAATACAATTGCTAACTGTATTTTACCACCTCCGGGTTTTGAAGGAGATTGGGAACGAGGAATTGGTACAAGCTTGTCGAAAAGTAATGCGCTGGAGATCGACGTGACGCCTCCCTATGTGACAACAGTGACTTCTCCTCATGAAGATGGTACTTTTGGTATTGGTGAAGTGATTCTAGTGCATGTACATTTCTCACAGCCGATCGTGGTGACTGGTTTACCTACTGTTGTATTGGAGACTGGGGCAGTGGATCGTATAATTCCGTTTAACCAAGAGGTAGCAGGGAATATTGCAGAGTTTAAATACATTGTTCAAGCAATGGATACATCACCCGACCTTACATATACGGGCACAACAGCGTTGCAGCTTAATGGGGGATCAATCAAAAGGAAGTCTACTACACCTACTACAATCGCAGTACTGAAGCTCCCTTTTAATGGAGAATCTGGGAGCCTTTCCGTCAGTAAGAATATGGTCATCGATACTACCAAACCAAAGATTGTGAGCGTCACAACTACAGCAAAAGATGGAATATACACGGCCGGAGATGATATTCCAGTGATCATCACTTTCGATACACCCGTAGTTGTTAGTGGAACCCCACAATTAGTATTGAGCACAGGCTCAGTTGATTTGTTTCCGGGTCAGTTTGTTCTGGAAGCTCCGACGTTTACGTCTAACGAGACCGTCGTGTTTCCATCATACTATCTTGGACTCTCCACACAATCGAGTAAGGGACTCCAATTCAAAATTGACGGTCAGATTTTAACCGTCGATTCGGTTAATAGAGATGAAGTAACCATGATTGAAAAATACGCGGGTACCAAGGTCGAACCTGTGACTCTGTCTAATAGAGCCAATGTGCCAATTTACAGCCCTGGCTATCGACCAGCCAAATACTCAAGTGGCAGTGGAACGAAGATGCTGACGTTCGTGTACAACGTTCAAATCGGAGACGTATCGAATCGCCTAGCTTACCTTTCCACTTCGGCTCTGCAACTAGGATCTGGATCCATCAAACGACTATCCACAACGCCGTTTACGAACGCTGATCTCACTCTAGCCACACCTGGAACCAGTGGAAGTCTCAGTGCCGGTGCAGCTCTTGGCATTAACACTGACGCTCCTAGAGTTACTCAAGTCAAGGCAGTCACGCGCGATGGAGTGTACAAAGCCGGCGATGAAATTTATTTCGAAGTGGTTTTTAACTTACCGGTCGTGGTTTCTCCCACAGCTTCGCTAGTGACAAATATCGTCTCTGCAGGGGTCGAAAGACTGGCGATTTATTCGGATGGAAGCGGCACGACGTCGCTGAAATTTAAGTTTGATTGTCTTGAAGACGACCAGGTGACAGTGTTAGATGTTAAAAACGTGAACTCTTTACGAGCATCGTATGGTTCAATACTGGGCTGGATTCGACGGAAATCTGCGGCTCCAATGTTACCTGCATTATTGGATTTACCTGTATCAGGACTATCATCAAAGGGTATTTCGATTAACCAAGGCTGTGAAACGGTGACGGATGTTTTTACTTCCCATGAAGAAGGAACGTACGGAGTTGGCGAATCAATTGATCTTTTAGTGAAATATTTCGCCAGCGTGAGTGTCGATACCACAGGAGGCATACCTACACTGGTTACTTCCACTGGAAACTCTGCAGTGTATCAATCTGGAACAGGAACGCAGACTCTCGTATTCAACTATGTAGTCCAACAATCGGATATATCGGGACGACTTGTATATCCAGATAGATATTCCTTGAAAACCAACGGTGCGGTTATCAAAGGAGTGACCAGTTCTGCACTCTCGTCAACACTTTTACCATCCCCAGAGCTTAGTCAGCTAAAGACTAAGGACAATTTATTTATCCAGACTTCGCCTCCAGTTGTTGTGGAAGTATCGACACGAACTCAAGACCGAGTGATCACTGTTGGAGACACAATTGTAGTGCTTGTGAGCTTCAACTACCCGATCTATGTTCCTCCGCTATCAGTAAAAGCCGGAGCTCCAACGTTGTTATTGAATGTCGGAACGGGTAGTGGAATCGCATCTTCTTACGTTGCAGCGGAGGAAAACGCAGCTTACTTTTCGTTCACAGTAGCAGCCGATCAATCCACCAGCAAACTCTCGTATTTCGGCAGATCCGCACTTAAATGTACTGGTGGCAACGGATTAAACAAAGACCCAAGACAGAGCGCTGGACCACCGAGTGCTGTTTTATTCGGAGATGTTTTCTTTACAAGCTGGGCTGAAATGTCCTCGACTACTAACACTCGACAGATTCGCGTGAAATCCTTCGACTTGCAGCAATTTCCACCTCTTTTGAGCTTTGAAGATGGCGGTGAAGTGTTGTCTATCGTGAATCTTGACTCGACTATGGATGCAACTTCCCCCGAATTGGTGACATTCTCGTCAAAACTTTATCTAGTATGGGTGGAAGCTAGCACAGCGCCGAATAATCCGACCCAGATCCGCGTGGCAGTACTCGCCAGTCGCTCACCTGTCCAATGGGCGTTTGTAGACGCCAAACCTGCTACAAACTTTGGAATTAACAAAGTACCTACAGCTAATGCCGCAGAACCTCATGCTGTGGTCCATGATTCAAAATTGTACATAGCGTGGAACGAAAATCCATCAGGTGTTGCTCAGATTCGAGTCGCCGTCTTTAATGGACATGATTCGACACCAGGGTGGACGTATAGTGATGGAAACCAGAATGCTCGTGGGTTAAATTACGCTGCCCTTCAACCGGCCCAAAGCGTGCGTTTGTGCTCGTGTGGCTCCAAGGGAAGTATGACAAATAATCTGTATGCTGCATGGTCCGAAATATCAACTTTATCGGGTACTGCGCAAATTCGAGTTGCGGTTCAAACTGGAACTGATTCTCTGCCTAACTGGAGGTTTATCGATGGAAATACAGCGACTGGACTCAATATTGGCACGCAAAAGATAGCGATATCCCCGTCGATCCAGTGTATTGGAGGCTCTAGTGTTGCAGTTGGTTGGCAAGAAACCACGGGGGCTACCGGATCAGTGATTTTTATCAAGAAATTTAACGGTGATTTCACGACGCCGCAGTGGATACGTCTGGGTGGTGATAAAGGCTTGAATTTTGATGCGACTCAACCGGCTCAAAACCTTAAGCTGTCAGTACAATTGCTAGGAACGACTGAGACTTTATTCGCGACTTGGGACGAAGCGGATAGCACGGGTACAGCAACGCAGATTCGAGTAGCTCAGCTTCTGACTGGCGCGAATTCCTGGAAATTTTTGGATGGAGGAGCGAAAATTTCAGTTATAAACGATGACGTCTCGCACTCTGCTTCGCGTCCCGTCCTGGTTTGTAAAAAGTCTCGAGATACCACCATTGCAGCTTGGTTAGAGACGCATTCAAACGGTAAAAATCATATAAGATGTAGTGTATTGGACGCTTCGGTGAACGAATGGCAGCCTTTAAGCCAGGGTTGTATTCTACGCAAGGCCACGTCTTCAGTGACTTCTGCCAACCTGCTTCTCCCAGAGTTGAATTCTCCAGGATCTCTGGATTTTGGTCACTCGATTCGAGTTGAAACATCAAAACCAAAAGTTCAAAGCGTGTCTTTAGCTGGAGATATTTACTCGTCCATCACGTCGGTTAGTACTATCCAGACCGTTGATATTTTTAACGTTGCAAGTATTAAACAAGGAGACTACGAACTTGTCTACGGGGACACGAAAACCTCCTGTATAAGCTGGAACGCACCAGCAACAGGCACCGGATCGATTCAGTCTGCCTTGGAATCAATGACAGGACTGGCAATTAAAGTCTCTGTCACCCAAGACACCACTTCTTTTCACGACGGATATCGGTACACAATTACATTTGTTTTTCCTACCATGGGTATTTTGCCGCTTCAAGTGAAAAAAAATCCCGATGCAAAGTGTAAGAAGTTCACGTGCGATCCCACTTTGACTCGCTTTCCCTGCAATCTTGACCTTGTCCAACCGAACCAAAACTCGGATATTCGGGCTACAGCCGGTGTGGTAGATGCTGTGGTGCGATTCTCCTTTCCCGTGGTGATACCAATTGGCATTCCGAAGTTAAGTATTGATACAGGAGTAACAGTCCGCGACGCAATCTACATGACTCGAAGCGCATTGCAGGAGTTTGATGTTGGAATTAATATGGCAAGCTCTGTACTAGGCGGAGGATTTCGCTTGTCTTATGGTGATTTCAGCTCTGGCGTGGGTGTGGCGCCGATCTACACGACGGACTGTATTCAACTCTTGATAAATGATGACGATGGCGTGCAAGAAATGCAGTCCAAGTTGGAAGAGATAGCGTTGATTAAAACCATTGGAATCCGATCAGTATCTCGACGTAAATATCGCAATGGTTATCGCTTCACAATCGAAAATCGCAATAGTGGTGATATGTTAGATTTAGTCCCAGCAGATTCATCAACTTGTCCTGCCATCGCTGCAAGTACTCAAACTATTGATATCAAAGCAGATACCGAAATTTTATCCGGAGAGATAAAAATTCAGCTCGGAGATACTAAGAGTGGTTGTATACCTTGGAACGTCCGTGCAAAGGGCCCATCAAACTCGATGGAGGCAATTATGAAGTATCTGGAAGGTGATCGGATTATTCCCGTGCAAGTTGTGAAAGATCCGTCCGTGTATGTGCATGGAATAAAATACTACGTCAGATTCTCCAATCTGGTGGACGCTAATAGCCCACTTTTAGCGTTTATGGATGCTACATGTGCAACATTTACGTGTAAACTGGCGGGTGGAGCTACTGGTGCATGTACCAGTCTCTCTGTGACGTCAAACGCGGATTTTAAAGTTACTCGTGCGGAATCTGGAGCTATTTCGTTCCGCTATCTTGTTCAACCTAGCGACGAAGCTATATCTCTTATGTACAAAAGTACGACCTCATTGACTGGAACAATCCTCCGATCATCAAAGAATCCAATCCTTGCTGCTTCGTTGACTCTACCGCCTCCAACTGCACTTGTGGCACAGGATGGAGTGACCTCAATGGCAGTTGTGAGGTCGGATACAATCCCCGTAGTCACTCGCGTATATTCGACTACTGTTGATGATACGTACACAGCTGGAGACGTCATAATTGTGATTGCTGAGTTCTCGGAGAAGGTTATAGTGGAGGGTAAACCAGTTCTTGAATTAGACTCGAAAGGAGAAGCGTTCTACACATCAGGCAGTGGGACGAATGTGCTGAAATTCTACTACGAAGTCAAGCCAGGAGAAGCCACAGCAGACTTAAACTACGCGTCGGTAGCCGCTCTTCGAACGTTTACGGTACCAAATTCAAAGATAATATGTGCTTTGTGCTCGGGTTCAGGTATCGATGCCGACACGACACTTCCAGCATTGCATAGTGCAGCAAGTCTTGCGGGAAATAATGCGTTGGTAATCGATACGACGGTACCAATTGTTACATTAATTACTTCTAGTCGTCCAGATACAGCTGCAGGGGGCGTTGGATACGGTCCAGGCGATATCGTGGATATTATGGTGACGTTCTCGACCGATGTAGCTGTAACCGGAACGCCATCTCTAACGCTAAATTCTGGCGGGACAGCAAAATTCACCTATGCTGGGTATCGTCAGCTGCTCGACATTGGCGTCAACGCTGTCGTTCCTGTAACATCGGGACAGTTTGCGGTCATTTTCGACGGAAAAGTATCGGGATGTATCGATTTTGATGATGCAAGTAGCGTCGCTGCAACGTCACTAAAGACGCGTCTTCTTGAATTCAAAGCCATTGCTCGGATTGGAATATTGTCCGTGACTATGACCAAGAAGAAGAACGGGAATCGATTCGAAATTCTCTTTGACTCCACGAAGGTTGTAGACGTTCCTCTCGCTATTGAACTAACAGTTTCGGACATGTGTGATCCTCTTCAGCCATCATCTGCAGCACAGGAAACTCTGGTCTCTAGAGTCACAGACAACCAGATTGTGTTTCACTATACAGTTGGAGTTGGGGACACTACTGCAGTCCTCGGTGTGACTAGCACCAGTATTTCACTCAATTCTGGTACAGATTCTATCCTACGCCAATCCGGATCTCCTGTTATTGTAGCAAATGTTGCATTACCAATCTCGACTTCTCCGCAAAGTTTGGCTCAGACTAAAAATCTCAAAATTGACGGAATTCCAGCACAAATTTCCGATGTCATTTCGGATTCAGCAGCAGGCACGTATGGCGTTGGCTTTCCTGCTTTAGCAAGTCCATTGACTGTGGCTCCAGGTGAGATTCTACTTCATCTAGTATTTACTCGTCCGGTTGTGGTAATTGGGACCCCCGCTGTGGAGTTAGCGACGGGTTCTTTACGTCCAAGTGGAGAATTTATCCCAAATCGACTCGCGAAATTTATCAACCAACCGCAGCCAAACCATGTGGCTTTCCTCTATCATATTGAACCCGACGACTACAGTACAAACCTCGCATTCCCAAATGTCAGTGTACTAAATGGAGCCAATATTTATTGTGCATCGTCAACAATGTCTGTTCGGGCGTCACTGGTTCTCCCAAAATTGACAATAAGCAACGGCATCATCAAAATTGACGCGTTTTCCGTCCCTGCGACAGTGAAACTCGCTTCTTCGCATGAAGACGGAGAGTACGGCGCTGGAGAATTAATTGAAATTCAAGTGAGTTTCTCGAAACAAATTGTACTGCTATCAGGTCTTAATCGGAACCAAGACTGGCACGCGCGATATCCCGTAGCGCTGGAATTCAAGAGAAATATCTACATCATGTGGACGGAGCGCGATGATATGCAAGCTCCTAGTAAGAGTTTCCTGTATCTGCGAGTGTTTTCCAGTGATACATTGGATGTTGTAGCCACCACGTCAGTCTCTGCTGTTAACCGAGTGCCTAATACGTTTATTGAGAAAGTGGCGATGACTGTGTGGAAACAGAATCTTTATGCAGCTTGGGATGAAGGAGGTCTGCTCTATTGTGCCCTATTTGAGGGAATTCCCTCGATTAATCCATGGACTTTGATTCCGAACATGGGGATCAATAAGAACATGGCAATGGCTGCTAGTGACCCTGCACTACTCGTTTACAATCTGGAACTTGTCGTTGTATGGAGAGAAAAGGCGCTTCCTGTTGGTAGTAGCGCTTTGGTTGGGCAGATTCGAGTGGCTGTTCTTAACTACGATATTGACGCTCCTCTGTGGATTTTTCACGATGGTAACCAATTGGACTCTGGCCTTAACAAGAACAAACTTATGGATGCAGATGACCCCGCTACTGTGGTTTATCGCGGGAGAATGTATGTTTCGTGGACTGAAATGAATAAAGATGGAGCGTACGAGATTGTGATTGCAAGACGGAACATCCAAACTCGGGATTTTTCGACCTGGACGTATCTGGATGCGCTTCCTTCTTCGTATCCCGCATATAGTTTTCTATCCGCTTATAAACCACAGTTTACTGTACGACGGAAAGGGATTGAGGACATGGCGTTGCTGATCTCGTGGTATCGAGATACTGTGACAAGTAACGTGTCGGAAGTAATTACTGGTCAAGTCCTCGATTTGGACTGGGAAGCTTCTGTTACTGGCAGTATCCCACAAACAATCAACGCTGCGGAGGGTAATACGACAGTCGACAAGGTGAATCCGAACTCGATCGAACAAAAATTCGTCACTTGTGGCGATAATATCTACTCTTCATGGCTAGATCTGGAGGGAAATAATGACGAAGATGCTGCGTATGTTCTAAAATTCGCCACTCTTCCGCCTGGAGCTCATGTTTACACTGGGTGGACATCAGCAGTGAACCAAAGTAACTTAAATCATAACCCAAAGCGTGATGCTATCGATTCATCTCTCGTCTGTTCTACCTCTTCCAATGGTAATCCGCATCCCGGCCTCGTGTGGACTGAATATGATGGATATTCTATCAAACTACGCTTCCGGCACTATACTGTTGTACCCAGAACACCTGGAACAACTAGTACTTATTATGGTGAGACGATAGCTGGAGCTCCTGTCTTGATGCTAGCCACTCAGTCGAATCCATTGGGCTATGCTGCGTGTATCGATAAGAGCGGGATTACAACCACAATGCTATCGTTCACGTACATCGTTCAGCCAGGAGAATCCTCACCGCAGCTAGAGATCATGGGTCAAGATGCTCTAAAACTTAACGGTGCCGTAATTCGAGATATCGCTGGAAAAGATCCCGATTTTACACTTTTCCCGGATTCAGCGAATCTACGAAGCTTGAGTTACAATAGCAAATTGGCGATTAATACGACACCCCCTACGGTGCTGAGTGTGACGTCCAAGAATCCCTCGGGAGAATACGGAGTCGGACAAATTCTCGAAATTCAAGTAACTTTTTCCTGTCCTGTGGTAGTGATTAAAGGCGATCCAGCGACTCCGCCAACTCTCTCACTACGTTCGGATGAGCTTCATTTACTTACGAGTTCACAAGGGATTGCAACTTACGCTGGAGGATCGGGTTCAAGTGTCCTTACGTTCGAGTACACGACAGGCCTGCAGGACTATTGTGAACAACTGGACTATATGGATACAGCTTCTTTAGCGCTTCACGGCAGCACGTGGGCTATTAAGAGGAATGCGACGCGTCCTACGACTGATGCTGTACTCACTCTCCCACCAATAAAGTCAGCCAACTCACTGAGTGGGAGCCGTACTATTGTGATTAAATCTACGCAACCTAGCGTCGTTAAAGTGACTTCTTCGACTCCTGATGGCACGTATTATCCCGGAGACATCGTACTCGTTGATGTTTTGTTCTCGCTACCTGTTTTTGTGTTTGGATTCCCTGTTTTACTATTGGAGACGGGTGGTAATGCACCTACTCGATCTTCTCTAAGGTCGGGTAACGGCACTGATAAGCTCACATTTGAATATGGTATTAAGGTTGGAGACAAAAGTGCTCGATTGGATGTGGTAGATGATCGAGTTGGAGACGATAAGGCCTATTTCGTAATGTCATTAATGCTGGAAGGGTATGCAGAGATCAAAAGAGCTTCAACCAATCCGTTTACAACCGCAGTGGCAGCATTACCTGCTCCTGGTCTCACTGGATCATTGTCCTTTAGCAAAAATATTATTGTAGATTCGACGCCACCTACTATTATTGACATTCGCTCCCCGGTTATTGACGGAACCTACGATATCGGAGAGCAGATTGACTTTTTGCTTGTTTTTTCTCGTCAAGTGGTGGTAACGAGTATTCCCGAGGTTATCCTCAACGTTCCGTCTGAATACAGCCGCACTGCCGTTTATACTGACGGATCCGGCACGAGTATCCTTCGATTTTCGTATTTCCCGAAAGTAGGAGATAACTCCAGAAACTTGGCATTGGATATTCTAGATGAAAATTCACTTATTCTCCGCCCCCTCCTTCGTGGTAAGGAATTGTTACAGAACCCCGCTGAAATCTTGTGTAGCTCTTCAAACCCAGTACTACGCGCTGATATTAAGCTGCCAATTCCTGGAGTTGCTGTACGTTCTGATGCCGTTCTAAGTCTTGTTGGAAATAATCGGAAAATTTTTGTTAGAACGGATGGATTTCGAGTTAAAGCGATCCAGGCAGACATACCGAGTGGAATCTATTCCCCTGGTCAGAGAATTGTCATCTCAGTAGTCTTTACGGGCCCCACAGTTGTTCAAGGAAGTCCCCGCTTAAAACTGAACTCAAACACCGCAGCATACGCGGTTTATATTGGTGGAACAGGGACATCTAAGCTTCGATTTGAGTATATTGTGGCGACTGGAGATAGCTGCTCGGTGCTTGAAGCTGCGTCTCGAGGTGCATTGGAGCTCAATGGAGGAGTAATTTCTGACACTGGCGGGATCTACGTACCTCTACGTCTTGGAATTCCTACACAACCTGGTAGTTTATCGGACGACTACAACATTGAAATTACTTCAGCGCCTCCGTCAGTTCTTCATGTGTACTGCAAGGACGGAGACGGCAGCTACGGAGTCGGGGATACTCTACATATCGCGGTTGTTTTTTCACGAAAAGTTACCCTTTCGAATCCCCCTCCGTTGCTTTTACTCCAAGTTGATGTCGGAACTCGCGCCGCAACGTATCTTTCAGGTGATAAAACAGATACCCTCGAGTTCACGCTTCAGATTTTGAATGGAGATTCCACTGCTCTATTGGATTATGCGAGTAAAAATGCGCTAACGGGTACAATCCTTGCACTATCTACCACGCCGACAACTGCAGCGAATTTGGAGCTTCCGGTCCCTGGAGCTGAAGGAAGTTTAGCGGATTCTACCTCAATTCGAGTGATTTCAACGCCTCCAGTCATTATGGATGTTCGAGCCGTAAGCCGTGATGGAAACTACGGTCTTTATGATAATCTTCGTATCCAGATTAGATTCTCCTTTCCTATATATGTTAGCCCTGTGGCTTCACAAACTTGTACCTTGACACTAGCAGTTGGTGACGTTGAATTCAGAAAAGCGATTTACGTTGGCGGATCTACCACTACAAAAATGGAATTTGAGTACATCGTTCAGAACGGGGATCGTTCGTCTCGTCTGGACTATATTGGGGCAAATAGTCTACATTGTACAATTCTTCAGGCCACAGCAGTACCATCTCTTCAAGCCTCAAGAATTTTACCACTACCTGGTGCAGAAGGGAGTCTTAGTTACAATTCTGCACTCCAAATCGATGCATTTTCGCCGCGAATTACCTCAGTATCGTCTGGAACGGAGAACGGAGTTTACGGCGCAGGCCAAGTGATTGATATAGCGATCACTTTTTCGGAAGCCGTACTGGTTCCAAGTGGAGCTAAACCGCGTTTACGCCTCGCAATTGCCTCGAATGTCCCAGTTGATACATTGATTGAAAGCTCGATAGAACCGTACGCGACGTATAATGGAGGCTCTGGATCGAGTGTCTTAAAGTTTGTGTTTACTGTTCGAGTAGGGGACATAGCGTTACCATTGGAATACGCAGGGATTGACGCTCTGTCGATGACGATTCATAGTGCTCAACTCACTGCAGTTGAGAAGATATACCGATTCGCGTCGATACGATTACCTGTACCTGGAGCTACAGGAAGTCTCAGTAATAATCGCGATATTCACATTGATACATTGGAGACACCACGGGTGATTGGTGTGGGGAGTTTAACGGCCAATGGAATATATACAGCAGGGGATACGCTAACGATTTCAGTGACGTTCTCAACACCGGTGACTGTAACTGGTTCACCGCCTACTTTGCTGTTAAATACCGGGAATCCAGATACACAAGATTCAGCCAAGAAAGCGGTGTACGTAGCTGGATCGGGTACTTCAGTGTTACTGTTTGAGTACAAGGTTCAAATTGGAGACAGCGTTGACCGATTAGAGTATAAGCCTTGTTCTTTATCTGAACGAAATGCCTTTATTCAGCGCAAATGGGATAAGTTGGTGCGTTGCTCTAGTACAGCGAACGCACTACAGCTTGGAGGGATTGGTAGCAGTATCAAACGTTCGTCAACTGTCCCAGTTACGGACGCTGTCTTGGATTTGCCTGAGGTTAACGACTGGGCAGAGCTACGTGTTGCTACGACTGGTGATAATTTCGTTTATGTTACGCAAGTAGAGCCAACTACTGGTGCCGAGAAGAGCACTTTGAAATTATTAGAGAATGAATTCAGTATTTCGCATCAAAAAGCTGCTATTAACATCTACAGTAACGGGATCCCAAGCCACGACACAATTCTGCACGAGAAAATTAAAGAACAAAAATATTTTATCGAGTTGCAGCGATTCCCGACACTACAGAGTCAAATTCTCAATCTCTCTCGAATACCTGATGCGTTCAGTGGTATATTTCTCAACGGAATTTTATTCAAAAACAGCAACAAACGTGCCAAAAGTACAGACGACTGTGGTGGAGCTATCAACGCAGACGGTCATTACTTCTACGTAGACCTTCCGAAATGCTACCTTGCTGCAATTCACGAGCCCCGCGAACCTAAAGTGAGCTTAACAGGTCAGATAAAGAGACCAATGTCTGTAGTTGTTGCGTACGCGCTGGATGGGTTCCCGATCTACGGCTATTACGACGAAGACGGAGAGCTACCCAGTGATCTGGACGAATGTCACGGCCACATTCGACGCGATGGACAGTACGCTTACCACTTGATACCACCTGAAACATCGGCTTCTCCGTTTATGCCTTGTCTTAGAGGACTCGCGTCTACGTCTCAACTCTCTGTCTTTCGCTATCCAGCCGATATATCAGCAGTGGAAGGCTTACCGTTGTCCGAATTAGCCAAGTTCAACAGTTTTGTGATCGACGAGAACCCCGCAACCTACAACGCCGATACGTGGCTCAACCCAGAAAGCGTGTCGGTGGTGTACACTTCTACCACCGTAATTGTACGCAGTAATGGTATGCCTGCTGGAACCTATGGCCCCTTCCCGAATGCATACAACCGATTCAGTGTATACGAACAAGACTATGTTTTCCAGTTCCCACGGAATCCTGTAATAGCTGCAACTACCACGTCGTTACCGAGGGATACTCCGATCGGTGTTATGGTAAATGGAGTACCCTTTTTCGCTGCCAAGTCTGATGTTTACGGCGGTATTGTGGTTGATATCACGAACTCGGCGTATATTTTGTTAGATAAATGCAACGGACTTGTTGATGCTGGCGGCGACTACAGATACTACGCGAGTCCGGATTGTTTACTACACGAACTCGGAGATAAAGTTGGACAGCCTTCACCTTTGATAGGCTTCGCGTTCGACGGATTCCCATTGTACGGACCTTACGGCGAGAATGGCCAGATGCCTAATGCCTTAGATGCTTGTAATGGACGAGTAGGCGACGACGGAACGTACCGTTACCATGTGACACTGACAGCACCGTATTTGTTAGGGTGTTTTCGTGGTACCCCTGCAATAGATCAGAAGAATTTGTACGCTGCGAATGATCTGTACCGAAGTCTCAGCTACGCTCATGCGTTGAGGATCAACACAGATCGACCTCAAGTAACTCACGTGTTCACTAACAAACGACCAGGTGTGTACGTCACGGGTGAGAGTATCGACGTTGTTGTAGAATGGTCCACTCCGGTCCAAGTCATTGGGACCCCGACAATTTCGATCCTGAATTCATCACGTGTTGCAACATACGACGCGACACGAAGCTCCGCACAACAGACGGTTTTTCTCTATGTAGTAAACAGAAATGATGTAAATATCGAGGATTTCTCGTACGATGCTCATGTAGCGATTCAGCTGAATGGAGGGCGCGTCGCTCGGTTTGCAACAATTCCAATCCTGGATGCTGATCTCGATCTGATTCCGAGCGACCTGGACAATATCGACCTCATTCGCAGTAGAACTCCTGGTCTTTCATCGAAATTTCAACTGGTACGCGACTTACGAGTGGTGCTTCGTGGGTTGTATCATCCTAGAGCGCACGACCTTCGTGCACGGGTATTCCATGGTAACCGTGAAAGTATCATCTTTGACGGTTGCTGCACTGCACGCGATGCCTTTGGTATACCGGATGTACCCGATGTACTGACCAACCGAGCCCAACTTGCGTCAGAGGCACGTAATCCAACTAGTGGCATTGGGTGGGACTACAGCTTTAGTGATTTTAATGGAGACAAGAACTTGGCACTTGATGGAGGTGCCACTGCGCTGCAGAGCTCTACAAGCGATACTTGTGGACCGATGAATGCCATCGATGGGAGAATCCGAGGCGTGGATGTATCAACGCAAACAGTGGTGCGAACGTTACCGGCAAAAGGAGTGAATGAGTCTGCGTGGTGGGAATTGCGCTTAGTAGACGTTGCCACCGTCGGTACTATTCGTATCTGGATAGCGGATAGCGATCCGACTGTTGCAGCCGATGTGTTTATGTTGAGAGTCGACTCAAGCGATGGGGTTTCTACTGTGGCAGGAGACTTCACGCTAATTTTTACTACACAAGATAACAAACAGCTCGAAACGGAGTCTATAAGCTACAATGCAGTGGCGATGATAGCAGACGAGAAAGCGCGTATCATTTCGTCAGGTATCGGGCGTGGAGAGTCCATTCAAGCTAAACTTCTGGCTTTAGGAGACATCGTCCCTCGGTTGGTGATAAAACGAGATCCTCGAGATGCCTCGTTGTCACGCAATGGAGCGTTCACGTGGCATATCACGTTCCTAGATAACTCGCGAGCGGCGTTATCAGTCGGTGTTAATAACGTCTCTAGTGGCACTGGAATCGTTAATGTCGGTCCTCCGCTTTCCATTGACGATGATAGCGACCCTATCGTATATCGCAAGGGAGAAGCAGCCAAACCTAGCGCCAGCACATCGGTGAGAGCCACAGAACAGTCCATGTTCCCGTTCTGGGTCTTGCTGTTCGACAGTTCTGCTGTAATGGACGTCGAGAGCTTCGCAGATGCCTACGCTCGAGCCATTTTTTCTTATCGCGTCGACGAGAGACATGCTAACCGTAGTGTTATTTCAGTTGTACCTCCACTCGGTACCAAAGCACAATACGTGCGTGTCGTTGCAGAACTACCACGAGGTGTTATATCGATAGCAGAAGTGGAAGTATTCACGGAACAAAGCCACGTTTTATCGCAATACGCCGGTGGAACTCCCGTTCGAACAGCGTATCATCCAGGAAGTAAAACATGGTCACCAGAAGAACCTTTCCGCTATACATTTAGCGGTATGCCAAGTGAAGGTTCGTGGACTTTGGCGATTGAGGATATGGCAGTAAACGGGAGTAATTTATCTTCACCAAAGCTGAATTCCACTGCAGGTGGTATGTCCGACTGGGTGTTATATATCACGAACCAAGCAGGAGAAACAGTGTCGTATTATATGGATTTCCAGGCTCAATTACATGCTCTACCGCGACATGGGACGCTTTATGTCGGATTGGACGAGACCGAACGTGACCACCTTGACATCGACCGCAACGGGTTGCTGGATTCCATTGAAGCAGACACGTATCTCCGTAGATATTCACCGAACAGCTACTCTGATTTATCCGCGAATATTCGGGATCGAGAACTCAAAGAATTCATGCTAAGCTACGAGGAATATGGAGCTGTGCAAGTTCTACGTGACTCCAGCGAGCGCCAGTTGCGGCTTCCGTCTAGAGTGTGCAACGCCGAGTGTTTGGCCGCTATAAAGCTGGATCCGTACTTCTACGTGGGTCTTGAAGGTGATAAAGCGTTGAAATTGTTAAGAGTAGTTGGCGATCGGGTTGTAAAGTACGTTCCGGACGCTGGTTTCCGTGGATTGGACGCCTTCACGTTCTCCGTCGCTGTTACTGGACATGAGTCGCGTGTACTCGGGACGATCCAATTGACTGTAAAGGAATGCGAGGATGCAGAGTGCCGCATGTCCAGCTTCTTGTTGCATCGCAGCACGCGGTAATGACGAAGGCGTCCGTTATAGATTGAGGCCGTAAACTTTAGATGAATGTTGAATATGCACAACATCGTGGAATTTGTGCACGGGTGTTTGTGAGGAAAGACTGAAGACTTTTCCATTCAATGATAGTATCGTAGGCATTGAAGTAGTAGGAGCCGTAGACTCTAGGGGATGAATGGATTTGAAGTCTGTAAGTAACGAGCTCGAGTTCCCAGTGACTAAAGCGTTGAATCGAAAAAAATTAATCACCCTTACTTGGAGCTTTGTGCTCTTCTCATGTCGTCTTGCATTGGTTGACAAAGTAAAGCTCATTCCGGAATTTGCCGAACCAAGAACACTACTACCCGACCTAGCTAAGTGAGCTATTTACCCTGCCCAAACACTACTAGTATGAAGGTCACCCATATCATCGCTCTTGCTGCGGCGGTTGTCGCTTCGATCACCGTGCCATCTGATGCAGCGTGGGGCTTGACGACGCAAGTAAAGAGCAACCACGTGCAGTTTGGCCGTCAGCTTGGAGCTGGCAGTCTTCGTGGATCAGAGCAGCAGCAGGTGCAGCAGAGCTCACCCACGCAGACGGGTTCCAGTCAAGCCCAGGAGAGTAGCAGCTCGGGGAAGAGCGACGATGTAGGCGAGAAGAAGGATGACGACAAGAAGGACGACGGCGGTGATGACACCAAGGAAAGTGGTGGCGATAAGAAGGAAGACGGCGGCGACGACAAGAAGAAAGACGGCGGTGACGACAAGAAGGGCGACGGTGGCGACGATAAAAAGGACGACGGCGGCGACGACAAGAAGAAAGACGGCGGCGACGACAAGAAGAAAGACGGCGGTGACGACAAGAAGAAAGACGGCGGTGACGACAAGAAGGGCGACGGTGGCGACGATAAAAAGGACGACGGTGGTGACGATAAGGACCAAAAGGAGAAGAGTGAAGACGATGGCAACACTGACGAAGACGAGAAGCAAGATGACGGGAACACCGACGAGGACGAAAAGAAGGACGGCGAGAAAACCGGCGAGGGTGAAAAGCAGGAGGGAGGTGAGAAAAAGGAGGAGAGTGGTGACAATAAGGACGACGACAAGGGAGGTGATAAGGGGGATGACAAGGGAGGTAATGAGGGCGATGACAAGGGGGACGACAAGGGAGGTGATAAGGGAGACGACAAGGGGGACGACAAGGGAGGTGATAAGGGAGACGACAAGGGGGACGACAAGGGAGGTGATAAGGGAGACGACAAGGGGGACGACAAGGGAGATGATAAGGGCGATGACAAGGGAGGTGATAAACAGGAAGGCGGTGAAAGCAAACAGAGTGACGAGAAGCAAGGGGGGAGCGGCGAAAAGAAGGAGGGTGGTGTAAACAACGATACTGAAGAAAAACAACAGGGTGGCTCAACCTCTGAGAAGCAGAGCGGCGAAGGACAAGACCAGACTCAGCAGCAGGCGTAATTGCATTCTTGTGGAAACCGTTAGCTGCGTTGGGTAGAATATGTAGTGATTCTGTTGTGACGATGGCATGCAAATGCAAAGGAACATTTTGCTGTTTTCGTAAAGTTTTATGTCATAGCAGGAATGGTTTTTCGAGTTCATATACGGAGGAGTCACCAACACAATACCCTTACCAATATAAAAACGCAACCGTTGGAGGCCAGGATTATCGACATGTATTTGTGCAGGATTGGAATCCTGGTTGTGTCCAGGATTGAAAAAAAATTCCTTTCCGACTCAGCTATTTCCGAAATTTATAAATTTCAGGCCGTCTCATTTTAGTTTCTGCCGTCCCTCCGATAAGATGCAGCGGGACGCCGTCGACGAAGACGTAGACGCCACGAGCTCGCGCGAGCGCGCACGCGGCTCATCTCCGTGGCGCAGGGGACCGGGACTCTCCGACACGCATGTGGCTGGTGGTTCTGGAGTGACGGTCGCGACTGGAGGCCGTGAACATGACGTTGGTAGTGTATTTCCTGGAAGTTCTGGCGCCTACGACGACGGCAGCGGCTCGGACGTAAAGGAGGGGGAGGATGACGATGTAGAAGGGGAAAACTAAGGAGGACCCTCACAAAAAAAAGCTACTTGTTGCAAAAAATAGAACGAACCGTCGGCAACGGTAAATCCAATTTTTGGCGTTGCCGACGTAAAAGACAACATCACTACAATACACATTTCACAACGCACAGATTTTATAAGTAAAATATTGTAACTTCTAGACAAGAAACCACCACCGTGTGTTCTTTTATTCCACAATCAGAGCTGTCTTCATTCCACAAACTCTTGAGACTCTTGAGAGAACACCCTACGCAATGTCGGAGCAACTTTTTCACATTGACCCTCCTCCGGAAAAAAACCTATCCAAAACATGATGTCGCTGAATCCGCGCTTCATGCGTGGACAAGATCAAATGGCTTCAACGTATCGCGAAGGCGTTTACGAAAAATGACAACGGCGACATTTGCATCCGAAATTACGAATGTGATCGTGCGGGCAAACCGAAGTGTACTCAAAACCTCGCTGCCGAAGACAGGGTTCGAATTAAACGCGGGTCGAAACGGTGTGGCTGTCCAATGCGGATTTCGTTGAGGGCGATCAACAAAAATGCACCTGCAGGGGAATGGGCCATCGTCCACACTGGTAATGGTAGCGCCTTTCACAACCACAAGCCGTCCATGGTCGCTCGTGTCCACGCAGCTCACAGATCCAGAGCTGCTCAGGATATCATTGCTACTTCTGAGCGCTCAGTTCACAGTATAATTGAGGCCCAATCTGCTGCTGGTGTACCTGTAGCCAACATTTACGCAACAATGTTGAATCAAGACCCCAACACTCTGATAGTTCCTAAGGATATCGCGAACACCAAGGACTCAGCTCGTCGTCGAGTTCTCGCTTCCGCTACGCCTATTGAGGCTCTCTTCAACCAGCTCAACCAAGATAAGTTCTTTTATCGATACACAACACACCTCGAAACGCAACGCCTTAAATATCTTCTGTGGGCTCATTTTGCTACCGCAAGTCTTTACAAAGTTAATTCCGACATTTTGGTGATGGATTGCACGTACAAGACTAATAAGATCGATCTTCCGCTTCTCAATGTCATCTCACTTACTGGAATGGACACTGTAATTCCTGTATGTCAAGCCTGGCTTCCAGGCAAGAAGAAACAAGACTACACTTGGGCTCTGAACATGTTACGGCTACTGATATTGAAGTATGACGTCCCAGAGCCGAGAATCATTTCGCATGATAGAGACCAAGCGTTAATGAATGCTCTGGCACTCGTTTTCCCCGACGGACCGACAATTCTGTGTCGATGGCACATGAACAAGAACGTACTGAGTAAAGTAAGATAAGTGCGGGGCAAGGTGGCTGTCGAAAAACCTGCTCCTGGTCAATCCAAGTACTCGAATTCTGTGGCCACAGACAAATTTATGGCGCTGTTTTACCGCACAGTCGACTCGGAGACGGAAGAGAATTTGCGAGCAAACAAGGCCGCTCTAGCTGAATCTAACGCCCAACTTGCCGCATATCTATCGGAGCACTGGTGGAAGTACGAAGACAAGATCGTTAAGGTCCAAACTAATCGGTTCATGCACTTTGGTGTTCGAGATACGTCAACTGTCGAGGGGACTCATGCACAATGCAAACGCTGGATCAAGTCGACCCGTGGCGACCTTTTTACTGTTTACAACAAGTTACTTCCATGGTGGATATCGTCTGCGAGCAGGACGCGCGAGTATTTGAGCCGCAACGAAACGATAGTGCCTTACAAACTGCAATTCAATGAGTTCACCGCGTGTGTGAAGGTTATAACCAATTCGGCCCTGTATAAGACTGACGAACGTTGGAATCAAGCTCGAAAAAGTATCGTGCAAAGCGAAGCTCTCCCTGATTGCAGTGGTATCTTCCGCGCTACTCACGGGATGCCGTGTGTACACGAACTCAAAGCAATCGTAGAGTCGGAGGGGCGGCTACATCTCACGCCTTCTCATTTTGACAAGCATTGGTGGATTCAACAAGGCCCGGAACAGGAGCATATAGCTGCTGCTCGCATTCTTGATCCCCTACCTGCCAGAGCCAAGGGCTGTAGGAAACCCAGAGAAATCACACACAAGCGGAACCACGGAGCTAACGGCACAGCAAGGGAGCTGGTCCATTTCGAACGTGTGGAGATTAATGATACTAACCTGACAGCGTCCCAGCCAACACAACCCGATCCCTCCCTATTTGGAACGCAAACTTTGGATAAAGTTCACGAATCTGGTCAGCAGAATTCTGCAGCGGCTACTGTGCCCTACCATCATCACCACACACCAGCCAGAAGTTGGGGATATGCTGGTATGAGCCCATACAAGTAATGGCTAAGACGACGTAGCAGAATTTAAAAAAGTATCTTTGCTTAGATCTTGCAAATCTCTTTTTATCTTAAAGTAAACTTCAACATAAAAAATCTAATATGTTTATTTTAAATTTGGTTCGACTAATGAACACAGCCATTACATTTAAAAGTGCATTCATTAAAAAAATTATGACTTGTGAATATTACAAATATGTGAACGAAGAAAACTTTGGACTGCAAACACCCTGTCACAATTTAGACAGGGGAACATCCCGCGGCGATTCTGTTTCTCCCTTCGTAGCTGCCTGTGGGCTTCTGCGTCAGGATTGTCAGTACAGAGATATCGATGCTGCCGAATACGACCAGAATTGCTGTCTGTGTGTCAACAATACTGGCACACAAACAGCGTGTTCGACACCACGTCAGGGGTCCAAGACTCTCCCTTGAAAAAGAGATAACAATGAAGCCTGTAATTAGCTGTAGTGTAGGCTACTCCACTGTGAAAAAGATCTCCACGAAATATAATAGCGTAGCCGCGAGGTATATCCAATATCACTTCTTTTTGTACGCTTGGATATTCGAAACAACCCGTAAAAACACGAAGTTTCGTGTCATTCTCCAAAGATACAATGACACGTGCAGGTATCGAACCTTGAAATTTTTCACCACATTTATCTCGTACTTCTGCCGTGTAATCTTGATGGGGCTCTTGAGCTTCTCCACCGGGCCGAGAATGCATGAAAGAAAATACTGTAGGTTTATACTTCTCGTCTCTAATACACGCGTCCTCCTTAATAGCTTTTTAGACAAGTTTTAGTGCCGAACTCAGTCGAACAACGCGCGACTGGCTTCGAAAAGGGTCATCATTAGCTCCTCCGACCTCTCGAAAAACTGGTGCGTATGTGCGTGATCGTGCTTCGCTTAGCAACCCGTCGATCGTAGATGTATCTAGTTTGTAAGGATACTATAGCAAACCCGGAAGATGGGAACGAGGGGCGCATGGTGGAGGAAGCCGAAATTGAAAACTATATTTGCCGTAGCTCTCGTCGGCAACGCCAAAAATTGGATTTACCGTTGCCGACGGTTCGTTCTATTTTTTGCAACAAGTAGCTTTTTTTGTGAGGGCCCTCCCAGCTGGAGGGCCCTCCTTAGTTTTCCCCATGTAGAAGAGGGTCGTGCTGCAGATCCAGATGGTGCTGAGGAAGCGGATGAAAGGAGCAGTAACGAAGACCCGACACTTGTACCTGTGGATCCGCCGCTAAAATACCACGCGAGTTGGGACGCTTGGCAGGAGTATTTCATTGAATACTGTCAACGAACTATGCAGGTGCTGCCAGTAAAGGAAACGATGTCTAGAGCGGAGAGGAACAAGCGACTAAAGAAGACAAAGAAGGGAGAGGATGATTCACAACTGATTCCTGAAGCAATTGACCCCTATCAACGGACATATATTTGCACTCATGGCTGGAAG